TGCTGCCAAAGATACATTTTTAGAAACCTGCACAGCCAATCAGATCTCCAATGGCCACTCTGAAGCCTTGCTGGGCAAAATCCCCACCTGGCCTCACCCGCTTCCCAAAAAGTACTTGGTGGGCACCAGAAAAGGTGTTGACAGGGAATGCTGGGAACGTTGCTATCACTATAGTTCTTAGATTGTGTGTGTTAATAAGTATTACTAGGTTGGATAGGTGAATTTCAACCATGTAGCCTCCACCATGCTGCGATGATGCCTGGGTTGTAAATGCAAAGTCCTTTGCATTTTGAATGCAGTTTTGTTGTTGTTGTTCAGTCGCACAGTCGAGTCTGACTCTTCGCAACCCCATGGACCACATCACACCAGGCCCTCCTGTCTTCCGCCGTCCACCGGAGTTTGCTCAATTTCATGTTTGTTGCGTCGATAACCAGGGGTCATTTAGTAGAAAACGAGGTGCAGGAGCTCATTAGCATAACTCATTAGCATAACTTATTTGCATATGCCAGACCCCCTGGCATCACCGGAAGTGTGTCAGAAGGCAACACCCACCGCTCAGGCTCCACTGGACTGTTTTAGATTGCTATCCTGTCCTCGCAGAGGAGGGAGAGCTTGTGCCTGAATAAAACTTGGTCCTAAAGGTGCCACTGGACTGTTTTGGACCGGGGGGCTGGGGGGGGAGCTCTGCAACTTACCTGGCTGCTTTTTGCTCTGACTGAGGGCTGCTGGGAGCAGGGGGTGGGGCTTGTTGCATGTGCCTGCCCCCTGCACTCTTTACTGCCGGAGCTCTGCTCCTGTGCGCTCCTGCAGGAAATGACCCCTGTCGATAACACTGTCTGACCATCTCATCCTTTGCCATCCCCATCTTCTTTGACCTTCAATCTTTCCCAGCATCAGGGTCTTCTCCAGTGAGTGCTCCCTTCTCCTTTGGTAGCCAAAGAATTTCAGCTTCAGTATCCGGCCTTCCAGAGAACAGTCAGGGTTGATTTCCTTTAGGATTGACTCATCTGATCTCCTTGCAGTCCAAGGGACTCTCGAGAGTCTTCTCCAGCACCATAATTCAAAAGCATCTATTCTTCGGCACTCGGCCTTCCTTATGGTCCAACTCTCAAAGCCATACATTACTACTGGAGGATCCCTTATTTTAGGCCATCAAAATGAGCCTTCTGGTGTGGTGGGAACAGGCTCATAGCCAGGTTTTTTTAAAGTCAGGGGGCATTTAAATTCCTTAGGGGGCACTAGGCTTGCCAAGCCCCCGCTGGGGGCGGGTAAATTCCCGCCCGGGAGGCCCGTTACTCGCCGGTGGCGGATTGGGCCCCGGAGGGAACTTCACCCCCTGCCGGAGGGCGTCCCCAGTGTGATGATGTCACCTGGAGGTGACATCATCACGCTGGCGACGTCGTGGGGGGGACACTCTGTGAATCGAGGGAAAACTCTATGGTTTTCCCTCGAGTCACGGTGCCCCGCCCCCAACGTAGGTGACGCGATGACGTGGCGCGCGTGCGGGGAGACTCCCGACGGAGCCAGGAATCCTCCCGCTTTACAGGCAAGTCGACTTGGCAACCCTAGGGGGGGTCACTGGCTAATCGAATTAAAAGCAATCTGATTCAGTTTCTGGAGGAAATAGAGAGGTGCTTCCTGGCTCCACATGGCCACTATAACTGGTCCTTCATGCCAGACAGCTGCGCCGGAATCCTCGGCTCCTTCCCCGCACCTGCTATTGCTCGGGGCCCTGGGCTGGATAGGAAGTCGGGGGGCCTTGCCAGTGAGTGGGGGGGGGCACCCTAGCCCCGAGTTGCCCCCACTGTAGCTACGGGCCTACATGTGAGTCTGTCTGCAGCAGTGGAAAAGAGCCAGAGTCCAGGAACACCTTAGGTAAAAGTAAAGGTTCCCTTGCTCGAAAGCCAGTCGAGTCCAACTCTAGGGTTGCGGTGCTCATCTCCGTTTCAAAGCCGAAGAGCCAGTGCTGTCCGAAGACGTTTCCGTGGTCGTGTGGCCGGCTTGACTAAACACCAAGGCGTGCGGAACGCTGTTACCTTCCCACCGAAGTGGTACCTATTGATCTACTTGCAATGTCTTGCTTTCAAACTGCTATGTTGGCAGGAGCTGAAACTAGAGACGGGAGCTCACTCCGTCATGCGACAACCCAGGTCTCGGAACTGCTGAACTACCGACCTACCACAGCCTACAGTTCAGCATCTTAACCACTTAAGCCACCGCAGCTATTAGGAGCTCCTTAAAGACTAACAAAATTAGTGGCCGGGCAGGAGCTTTCATGCGTCCCCGCTCACTTCTTCAGTATCCAAAGAAGTGAGCGGTGACCAACAGAAGCTCCTCCCCTGCCACCAAATTTTACTTGTCTTCAAGGTGCTCCTGGACTCTGACTCTCTTCTATTGCTGCAGACAGACTCACACGGCGACCCATCTTGGCCTAGTGCCACTCTATGGTAGTGTTGGGAACTGCAGACACCCCCCCCCCCCCGCCTTGGGTTTGGGCGGGGGAGGACCGG